TACTACTTTGTGTCTTAAGTGCCTGTAACCAAAAATGACCAGATGAGTCACGGAATCTGCCAGTTTTCTCTTCAGTACAGGCTGAAGGGGACAGTAAAATTCAAAATAAAGCAGCCTTTATGATAACTTCCCAAAAGTAATTCTTGTTTGTAACACCTTAGGCTATATCCAATTTACTAGTTTTAAAAGATTTTTCTGGGGAAAAAAAAAAGCTTTTTCTCTAAGTTGGGATTTTGTTGTTGTTGTTTTAAGAGAGGGAGAGAAGAGGGAGGCAGAGGAGGAGGGAAAGACAGAATCTCAAGCAGCTCCATGCCCAGCGAGGAGCCCACTGAGACCCTGTGACCATGACCTGAGCAGAAATCAAGAGTCGGACACTTAACCGAGCCACCCAGGTGCCCCTTTCTTTATGTTTTTAAATGAGGTTGTAAAGACTACCTGAGAATATGGCAAATATTTTTAGGGGCACCTGGGTGGCTCAGTCAGTTAAGCATCTGCCTTCCACTCAGGTCATGATCCCGGGAGCCTACTTCTCCCTCGGCTTCTGCCACTCCCCGTTTGTTCTCTCACTCTCTGGTCTTGGTTGGTCTTGGTATAGGTGAGAATCACCTCATCACTCCATTTGTAAAGGTGTATTTTATCCTTTGTAATTAGCAAAACATGTGAAACGGTATTTTCCCCCACTGATTTACTTATTTTGGGCACGTCTAAGTGGATTAGTTTCTGGGATGGTATTTTGAGACTATGTGAATATGTGTTCCCTAAGGGCATTTCACCCAATCCTTGCTTAAATCAATTAGCACACTGAGGATTGAAAACAAGTGAATTTCTAATCTATCATGCCTTCTATATTTATTACCTGAAAACCTTCACTAAAGACTTTCTCCTGTGCTTCCTCATTGTTGAGTAGCACAAGGCCTGGTGAGTAGCACAACTGATTGATGCAATACAATCCATTATGCTCATTATATAATCATCATGTTCATTTTTGATGCTTAGATTGTCCCAAATTTAGCCTGTGGGAAACTCTTCAAGCTGGTTCTGGTGTCCTTTTGACATGTCCATTAGTCACTAAGGATCTACCTGCCCAACAAGATGTCCCAGGCCCATCTTCCTTCCTCAACCCTGGGACCAGTCATTTCTCCAAGAAGTCCTGTTCCTTTAAGTGAAGAATAATATTTAGAAAACAAGATCTGAGTGCTCACCACCTTTGTCTCTAGGCCTGTGGAATAACAAAGAATACATCTGTTCTTTGTCCCCAGTTCCTGGCAGGGAGCTTCAAAACCCCTTGGCATTTTCTAAGTGCCAGAAGGGTCATTGTTATGCAAATGAGGGGGCTACGTAGGTTCAGGATGGGGGCTGGTCATCATCAGAAAAACCAACCACTCAATCCAACTTTGGGCCAGCTGGATCTCCAGGGAAAGAAACAGGGAGGAAGGTCAGCTGGAGAATGAGTTCAATCACATAGTCAATGGTCTAATCAGTCTGGCCCATGCAATGGAATTCCAATAAAAATTCTGGATGTTAAAGCTCAGTATAGCTCCCTAGTTAGTGAACACATGGACATGGTGGGAAGGGATGATGTGCCTGGATTTCACACAGAGAGGGCACAGAAACTCTTGAGTCTCTTCCCCACCCCTCTATTCTGAGACCTTGCCCTGTGTGTCTTTGCCACTTGGTTATTTCTAATTTGCATCTTTCAAAATTCTCATTGTGAGTACAGTGCTTTCAGTGAGTTCTCGATATTCTAGCAAATTACTGAAACACAGGATCATGAGACCTCCAAATTTATAACCAACTGATCAGAAGTGCAGGTGGCCCCCAACTTAGAGCTGCCATCTGAAGTGGAGGCAGTGTTGTGCAAGACTATAAACCAAGCCTGCACAGTCTGAGGCTAACTCTAGGTAGTTAACTAGTGTCAAAGCTGAACAGCAGGTCACCTGAACTGAACTGGGTGTTAGCTGGTGTCAGAACACGGAAGGTTCTGCTTTTAATGCAGTTGGTTAAGCATCCGACCCTTGGTTTCCACTCAGGTCATGATCTCATCGTCATGAGATCGAGTGAGCCCCATGTCAGGCTCCACGCCCACCTCAGGGTCTGCTTGAGATTCTCTCTCCCTCTCTGCCCCTCTTGCTCTAGCTCTCTCTCTAAAATAAGTAAATAGGGACCCCTGGGTGGCACAGCGGTTTGGCGCCTGCCTTTGGCCCAGGGCGCGATCCTGGAGACCCGGGATCGAATCCCACGTCGGGCTCCCGGTGCATGGAGCCTGCTTCTCCCTCTCCCTCTGCCTGTGTCTCTGCCTCTCTCTCTCTCTCTCTCTCTCTGACTATCATAAATAAATAAAAATTAAAAAAAATAAATAAATAAAATAAATAAGTAAATAAATCTTAAGGAAATAAAAAAATAATAAAAATAAAAATAATAAAAGTTCTTTCTGTAAACACGGCTACAAAATACTATTTATACACACATATACAAATTATAAATTCGCAAATACGCCATGACAATGAACACATGCAAAAAAAATCTTACATTCAGATCAACCCCCAAATCAAATCCAACACCACATGAAAATCACACTAATAGACATAAATCCACCTCATTTCTTTTTAATGTAGGCTCCATGCCCAGTGTGGAGCACTTGAACTCACGATCAAGAGTTGGATGCTAACCGACTAGGCTACCCAGGCACCCTCACCTTATTATTTTTCACAGCTGCATAACAGTATCTATATAGTATGGATATATCCTGCTTTTTTCAACCAATATCTGGCAGTTGTTTGCTATATATGCTTGTAGCAGCATAATCTTATGTGTTTGCCACTTTGTATTTGTAAACATTTATCTTCAAGGCAAATTCACACAACTAGGCCTGCTGGATCATGGGTAAACGTGTATGGATTGTGCAGACTGCCAAAAGCCCCTCTATATAGGATGTATCATTCTGGACTTTCATTAGGAAGGTGTGAGTACCTGTTTTCCCAGAGCCTCATTAGCTACATGTGCTGTCCAATTTTTAAACTTCTGCTATTTTGGAAGGTAAGAAATGGACGTTGGTATAGTTTTAATGTGCATGTCCTTCATTGAGTGAATTTGAGCAAGTTTTCATATGCTTAAAGTCTACTTGTAGAGCTTTTTTAGACTTATCTATTTAGGTGTTTTGGCCAATTTTTTCACTACAAGTCTTTTTTCTTTCAATTTTTAAGAGCACTTTGTACAATAGAAAAATTAACCCTTCTTTATTATATAAGGGGCAAATATTTTCCCCTCTTTTTAGGTCTTTTGATATGCCTATAACCATGCAAATCTTTTTTAAAAACTATTGGTAAATTTAATCTTTTACTGTTTCTAGATTTTAAATCATACACAAAACCTTTTTCCAAGCTATAAAATAATGCATCTAAGTCTATTATTTATATTTTTCTTCAACACCGAGATCTCTGACCCAATTGGAGTTTATTCTGACATATGTAAGAGGCACAGAGCCAATTTTAAGTTTCCACAGAGAGCTATCTGGTTGCCAACATCATCTATCTTAAAAGTATATTGTTCCCCCAGGGAAAAGAAATGCTATCTTTATCGTATGTGAAATTCCCATATATTCTTAGGGCTGTTCCTGAAATTCTATTCTGTTGCATCAATCGGTCTCAACAAGAGCCAAAAGAGTTTTAATTACAGATGCCTTGTAGTAAGTCTTAATATCTGGTAGAGCTAGTCTTTCTCATTACTATACCAAGGCTTTCCTAACTATTCTTACATGTTTGTTTTTCCATATGAATCAACCAGTCTAACTCCAGGAAAAAAAAAAAGTTATTAAAAATTTTAATGCTTTCTAAAATGTTAGGGATCCCTGGGTGGCTCAGCGGTTTACCGCCTGCCTTCGGCCCAGGGCGTAATCCTGGAGTCCCGGGATCAAGTCCTGCATCAGAATCCCTTCATGGAGCTGCTTCTCCCTCTGCCTCCTGTGTCTCTCATGAATAAATAAATAAAATCTTTTAAAAAAAATTTTAATGGGATTTTCATCGCTTTTATTTCTGGATAAAAGAAAATTGACATCTTTAGAACACTGAGTCACCATATCTAAAAAACAGAGGTAAATCTGTTCAAGGCATTTTTATATCTTTCAGGAATGTTTTTAGTTTTCATTACAGAGATTTAGAATATCTCTTTTTAAATTTATTTCACTGAACTTATCTTTTATACACAGCTGTATAGGGGTCTTCTATTATGGCTTCTAACTGGTTGTTTGGAAGGCTACTGGCTTTTTTGCCTTATTATATCCTGCTATTCTTTCATTTGAGTGTGTTAATTTTATCATTGATTTTCTTGTATTTTTCCATAGTTTTACTTCTTTCATTTCTAAAACTTATGCACTTGATACATTTTTAGTAGGATATTGTCATTTCCCAAAACTCACATGTAAATTGAGTCTATTTACTTTTATGCTATTGTGTATATCATACTATTTCAATTTCAGATCATTGGAATCTGTGTTTAAAATCATACTGCACTGTACATTCTCACACCCATCTCGTTAACTGCAACAATGACAACCCAGACTAATGTTTCCTAGGTTCCTAGGGTCTCCACCTACATCAATCTCAACACCTACAAACCAAGGTGCTATCCCTAAGCCCAACTCCACTCAGCCTATAGAACAGGGAAGCACCTATAAGAGAGTTCACTTGGAATCTCCACTCACTCAATCTCTTCATGCCATTCATCCTATCTTTGCAACCATAACACTGAATGAAGCCCCTCCACCTTTTCCTCAATCCCTGCCCTCAAATCTGCCTATCCTACTACAAGCTCACTTTCACAGGGCTTAGAGGGAAGATTTTCACAAAACTCACATAAAAATGGCAAAGAAGTATAACACTCTCAAGAGGAAGGCAAAGAAAGAAGACTGCCTAATGAGCTCAGATGGACCACACACTGATACAGAATGCTAGATGTTAGCTAACTGCAGGAACCAAGTTCACTGTTTCCCAGGATTGTAGTACCTTTTCTTTCTTCACACAATTCATAATCTTGCCAAGGTCCTCAACATCAACGACAGAATTTAAATTCTGATGGTCTTCAGTACCAGATTCTTCCTCACTGGTGCTCTCAGAGGGCTCTTCCTCCTGGAATATCAATGTTTCGGAAATACATTATTCAAAGTAGCAAACCCTTCAAATTATGAGTTCACTGGATAGATCTGAGATATTTTAGGGTAGAGGCCAACAAACTATGGCTCACAAGCCACATGCTGCCAGCCTCAAGCAGGCAACCATCACTTGCACATCACCTATAGCTACTTTCTTGATACAGTGGCAGAACTGATAGTTCCAAGAAAAACCATATGACCCACAAAGAAGGAAATATGTACCAGTAGGCCCTTTACAAAAAAAGTTTCTTCACCTCTGTTTGGGACACAGAACCAACCAGGCTTAGTGAGGAACTAAATGCAGGAATGAAAGAAAGGAAGAAATTAAGCATGTTAATTTTTTATTAATTAAGTTTCTTTTGTATGTACTTGAGATGGTGGTGCTGTTTACGGAGATGAGAAACAGACCGGGAAAGTGGAAATGAAAAGCTCCATTTGGAATTTATAAAGTATGAGATGCCACAGACATCTAAGCCGAGATTTTAAAGAAGATGCACAAAAGAGAGCAAAATTCCGGGTAAACCTCAGAGGTGGAAATATAAACACAGGAATACTAGCATATAGACAGAACTTAAAGCCATGTAACTAAGGTAAGTATTAACAAAGAAAAGAACCTAGCACCAAGCCCTGAATCATTCCACCATGCAGAGGTTAGATAAAGGAAGATGGTCCCAAGTGAAAAAGGAATGAAAATGGTATCACAAAAACCAAGAAATGAGAGTGATTCAAAGAAGGAATCAGTGGTATCGAATACCGTTGAGAGGTCAAGTAAAATGAAGACAGAGGAATATCCATGAGGCGTGAAAACATGATGTCCTGAGACCTAGGCAAGAGCAGCTGCTGTGGGAAAGTCAACGAGAGTGGGTGAGCATGACATGGGACTTCTCCCAGCTGCAGAGTGGAGAGAACACCCCTCCTAATGGAAAATAACACTGAATAACAGAATATTTTAATACCATAATTTTTAAATGTGTCACTAAGCTGGCAAACATGACAAATTCAAAGAGGACAAATATGAACTAAAAACGGAATCCTAGGGGAAAAAAAAGAAAATGGAATCCTAAGAGGTAAGCGAGAGATGGAGCTGAGAGCATCTGCTGAACTCTGGAGAACTTAATTGACAACTGGACAGGAACAGAGAAAAATGGGCAAAGGCAAGGATACAATACCAGGAGAAGAGACCAACAGAAGACCAAAGTCAAGGCCGGGACCCCACGAGGCTGCATTTCTCATATACAGGTAAGCTAGAAATAAATGTTCTGAGAAAGAAGAAAGCAGAAAAGACAGAGAATCTGGGGAAGAAAAGAGAGTAAAGAATAGACAGTTATAGGGATTTTATTAAAAGGATCTAAAGTCTCTGTGAAGGGTAAAGGAGGATTTTATCCTAAAAATTCAGAACGAAATTAAATCGAAGTTACCAAAAGCAATATTCATTCCAGCTAGAAGACAGTGAGTGGATCAATGTCTTTACTGGGGGAAAAAAAAAATTTGCTCCCAGCTAGAATTCTAATCAGCAAAGCATCTATGAAAAAAGGCAAGATAAAAACAGGCAGATATAAAATTCTGAAAACTTACTTCCAAAACAACCCTTCTCAGAGACCTACTGGAGAATATGCTCCAAAAACAAGAGTAAACCAAGAAATAAGAAGATGGAAGATACCAGAATAAGGGAATCTAACCCAGGAAGCCAAAGGAAGGTTGTGTGTCACGGTGGACAGAAGACAGAGGCCTTCACCCACCCCAAGGTTTGGAGAGCAGCCAGGCCAAGGTGGAGGAAAGAGGACTCATGAGAAGCCTCCAGGAAAGCAATAACAACAACAGAATACTGAAAAATAATTTTCAGTTCCATTAGAATTTTTTCTAATGAATTAGTGATGATTATAGAGAAATCAAAGCAGATATAGCCACTACATAACGGAAATAAATGTTTGGGAAGGAACAAGTAACAGGACAGCACACAGGACAGATGGAAACATACATAGTCACAGTAATGACACAACAAGTTACAGTCTAGCCAGAAAGTGTGATACGACTGTATAGGAAAATGAGAGGAAGGGAAGTGATACTGGATATGCATGTCTGTGTGAGTGTATGAGAGAGCAAGAGATCTCGAGATGTTTTAACAAATTAAAAAATAGCAAGAAGGGACTATTATTTACAAATACAGAGGTAAATATCTAATGAAAAAGCTAGAATTAAAAGTGATTGCCCAAGAAAAATAAGAGTTAAAGGTAAGAAAGCATAGTTTTTCATAAAAGCCTAGAAGTACTATTTGAGGGTTTAAATTTAAATTTACAAATGTACAAGTGTTACTTCTGATTAAAAAAAGTTTGTTTACTTAGGTCTGTTCAAATGTTAAGAACCGAGGGTGATATCAGCAAAAATGGCAGAGTAGATAACTCCAAGGGCCCATCTCTGACCAACTCCCAGAGTTCTCACAAAGGTTTACAAGAACCAAGTGAACACAGAATCAAGAAAAAAGAGACTTGGGGCACCTGGATGGCTCAGTCGGTTGAGCATCCAACCCTTGATTTTGGTTCAGGTCATGATCTCAGGGTTCTGGGATCAAGCCCCACATAAGGCTCCATGCTCAGCGGGGAGTCTGCTCCAGATGCTCTCTCTCCCTCTCTCTCTCTGCCTCTCCCTCCACTTGAGTGCATGCATGCTCTCGCTCCCTCTCTCCCTCTCTCTCTCTCTCTCTCTCTCTAAAATAAATCTAAAAAAAAGAAAGAAAAAGGAAACTTAAAAATGACATTATGACATTCAAGGAAACCTGTCACAATACTACCTGGAATACAAGCTAAAGAAACAGACCTCAGAAACCACGCACAATAGACAGCCTTTATAAAGATGGTTTTTAAGTCCCTAAACAATTACAACCCGGCAAACTACAAAAATAAAACTCTGAGGAGGAGAAAGAATTTGATTTCCAGAGTTAACACATTAGAATATTAAAAACTTGCAGTTTTCAACACAACATTACAGAGTGTGCAAACAACTAAAAAGGTCTGGCCTATCCACAGGAGAAATCAACTGGAACCATCCCTGAGGACACACAGGCCATGGACTAGATAGAGGCTTTGAGTCAATGGTCTTAAATACGCTTCAAGAGCTTAAGGAAACCAGAAGAACAATGTCCCAACAAACAGAGAGCACTTACACAGAGACAGAATAAAAAAAAAAAAAAAAACAAATTCTTGATCTGAAAAGTCTAATAACTGAACTAAAAATTTTACTTGGGAGTTTCAGGAGCAGATTTGGGCAGGCAGAAGAACGAGCAAACATGAACACAGATCAGCTAGAAACTGGTCAGGGTGAAAACAAACAAATGCACCAACATATACAAAAGGGGCACTCTGAAGCAGGCAGTGTTTGCACAAGACTCTGAAAGCTCTAAACACTACTAGATTATATCCTTATCTTTATGTACATGAATTTTACCTCAATTTCTTTTAAACAGTGTAAAAAAATATTAGGACCAAGGGTGGGGGGGGAAGATAACCAAAGGTAAGCAAAGAGACTAGCTAGAAAAGAGAACAGAAAAATGAAACAATAGCTGAAACATACAAAACAAAGGAAACCTTTGTTTCTTACTTGCTTTTCTTGTTCCTTTGAACACAGGTGATTCCAAGACATGTTTATAAATTTACAGAGCAATCTAGTAAAGAGGAAGAAACTAACAGTGCAGGAAGAGAGACAGAGAAAACACAGGGACAAAGCCCTTGATTCCAGAGCATGCACAGAGTGGCTATGGCAGGACTGACCCATGGCCATCAACTTGGAGACAATGTGAGGATGGGGTGCGGGGCACTATAGGAGGTCCCTGGCAGCTTCCAACAAGACCTGGAGGAAGGAACAGGAAGAAAAAGTATTCAACAGTCACCCTAGAGAGTGAGAAAGGGAACTTCCACAAGCATGCTGGACACTGCTGGGCAGGTCTGAGTGCACACATGGACCTGTGGTCATGGATCCAGCGTCAAAGAGAAAGCAGTCAGCAAAGGGGAAGAAGCCAGGTGGTAGGTTTCAACCTAGCTTGGGGTTTGGTCATTTGGGTTAGAAAAAGGACTGGAAGGAAGGCAAGGCCATTGAAGGTGTTTATAAAAGAATGAGTATAAAATCTAAACTGGGTAAGGACAGAAGTGAAGAGTTTTCACTATACAATGAAAAAGGCATGGGATCAAAAGCATTTTAAAGTTATTACACCTGAGAGAGGTCATTGTTGAGGTCACAGGAACATGAAATTTCAAAGGTGACCAGGGAAGTGAAATGCCAAGGTCAGCGAAGACAATGGCACCTGAAGACATGGAGGCCAGGTACCTAGTAGGCAGGATGCTGGTTAATACCCACACTGATGGCTTTGCCCCAAAGGGTAATGACAAGAACAAGGTGGAAAGAAAGTGAGTCAGAAAGTAAAGTGGTTCCTGAATGACACCAAGTGAGCAGTTGGCCAAAGGACAACAGCGGCAGTGAAGAGCCTGCTGACATGAGCTTCCAAAGAACAAAGGTCCCTAAACAAGGACCAAAGAGACGTGCTTACAATGTGAGGGACAAAGACAGGAAGCTAGGATGATGGGCAATCTTCTAGAATGAGAGATTTTTTTTTTTTTATGATAGTCACAGAGAGAGAGAGAGAGAGAGAGAGAAAGAGAGGCAGAGACACAGGCAGAGGGAGAAGCAGGCTCCATGCACCGGGAGCCCGACGTGGGATTCGATTCCGGATCTCCAGGATCGCGCCCTGGGCCAAAGGCAGGCGCCAAACCGCTGCGCCACCCAGGGATCCCTAGTCTGAGAGATTAATTGAGTCATTCAGAAAGAAGTCAGGAGAAAGATGTAGTTGGGGATACGAAGGCAGGAGCTCAGCCTGGGACACACCTAACCTCAGGCCTATGTCTCCTACCTGCCAACTATGTAGAAAACAGCCACTCTGGCAATGCAACCATTAAAGCACAGAAACAGGAAAGTGTCTTGAACACACACTGGCTTCACTAGGAAGGCCAACTCAAAAATGCCACCAAGGGAGCTGCTGATCTTCCTTCTAACCAGATGTTAGAAGATGTTTCTCAGGGCAGAGGTAAGGTCCAGCATCCCCATACAAAGGAGGAAAATAGCGAGACACGGACACAGAAGCTCCGTACCATGGATGATTCACACTGGCCTCTCTTGCAGTTGCCATCACAAGGCTTTTTCTCTCCTTTCTGAAGTGTCTGCAGCCGGGCGAGGAACTTGGTCTTCCAAACTCTGAAGTCCGCTTCGATGCTGCCATGTTTGCTTTTAACCACATCACAGTCCCCCTCTCCTCTAGCCACCACACGATGAGCACCAAGCATCCAGAGCCACTTATCAACATTCTTGCCAACCTGCAAGAAGATGGAGGAGCTAAGACACAATCCTCTACATCATAGGCTTGAGGATTGCTCTACAAAAGGCCCAAGTTCTGGGACTTCTGGGTGGCTCAGCGGTTGAGTGTCTGCCTTTGGCTCAGGGCATGATCCAAGCTCCAGGATCAAGTCCCAAATCAGGTTCCCCATGGAGAGCCTCCTTCTCCCTCTGCCTATGTCTCTGCCTCTCTCTCTGTGTCTCTCATGAATAAAAAAATAAAATCTTTGGAAAAAAAAAAAAAAAAAGCCCCAAGTTCCTCTGGGAGCCCATCACTGGCTGTTGGGAAGAGGGAAATGGGCCTAAGCTGGCCCTCCAGCCCCAGCTGCAATCTGCAAGCACTACACTGGTTACATTCTGGTAAGATCCTGCAAAAGACTCTTTTTAAACAAAGGGACAAATTCTTTTATTAAGGTAAGGGTTACTACCTAAAAAAGACTTTGAAAACTACTATTCTAAAAAAAAAAAAAAGAAAAAAAAAAGAAAAGAAAACTACTATTCTAAGTCATGGTCAGAATAAAATAACTAATTAGCAAAATAAATCTGTTCCAAAATATAGCAAAGCCCATTTTAATAGCAAAGGGCAAATGCAGCCCATGCAAGACTCATGACTTTATAAACTCAGAACTTGAATGAACTGCAAACATTAGCAGTTAAGCTGAGGTCCAGGGATTACCAAGCACCGCAGTCAAGCTTTCTGAGTGGCAAGGCGTTAAACAAAACATTTACGTATCTGAATTGTACCAGTTTTGGGGTCTAATTCCCTTGAAAATATGAGCAGAAATACACATCATGATAGTACAACTGAATTAAAACAAGCTTAAAGAAAGGTCTCCACTTTCAACTTTACTCACATTCTACCAAAGACAGGTGAGCCAGGCTGGGCCCATTTTGGGAAGAAGTATGTTTACAAAAGTTCTAGTAACTGTTTAGAACCACAAGAAACAGAGGCTCTGTTTTCATTTAGAAAAAAAATCTAGGAAAACAATGTCTTCTTACATAAAAGACAATGAATGTTTTTCTTCTATTTCCCTTTAAAAATTAACATTAAAAGACAAGGAGTTCAACTGTATTCAGAGTTATAGCTTGAGCCATAAAGATTATTCAACAACAGAACAGGCAGCTGAGAAAGTCTAAAGAAGCAGTGATCTTCTATCCACAAGGTCCTGCTGGGGACAGCAGACTGGACTCAATGGCCATGAATTCAGACCACTGTGACACTAGACAATAGAAGGTATAAGCATTTTATTCCATAAAAATGTACTTGAGAACCTACTATGCACCAAACTTGGATACATGTGTGTAGCAATGCCCCACTACAGAGAGTAACACAAAAAATTTATTACAAAGCACCAAAGTTTGTGGACTATTTCATATACACATGTCTATGAATTTTATTAAAAGAGAATCTCTCCCTATAATTCAACACATACCTACCTTGTTGAAGTGGCTGGCATAGACAGAATTTCCTAGGCCAAATACAGCGTATCTCATACCCTTTAGGTAAGTTTTGCCAAATCGAAAATCACTGGATGCTTCCTCTAACCATTTGCAGAACCACACTGCACTTTCGGTGGGTTGACCGTCTGTATATGTAGCAACCACAAAGGCACAAACGTTTTTACTAGTAACCTAAATAAGAAAGTAATTATTTCAGAAGAATATTCAAGATACAACTTATCAGTAAAGAAAACCCTTTTTAAAATGCTGACATCCACATCAATACTAATCTCTAAGGACAAAGGGTGCTTTCAAGGCATTACTCATTTTCAAAAGTGAAAGAAAACAGAGCAAGGACACCTTGCATGGGGAGAAAATCCAATGTCTGGCTCCTGTCGATATGTCCCCGGGAGCCCTTAACCATACATTCTATCCCAATTTCAGACACTAAGTTTCTGTCTCTCCAATTGTCATATTAGAAACGAAATCCAAACCACTCAGGAAGAAACACAGAGATCTTTAAAAATACCTAAAAAAATAAAGCAACAAAACTTTTTTTTAAAGAGTTTTTTTTTTTAATTTTTATTTATTCATGATAGTCACAGAGAGAGAGAGAAGCAGAGACACAGGCAGAGGGAGAAGCAGGCTCCATGCACCGGGAGCCCAACGTGGGATTCGATCCCGGGTCTCCAGGATCGCGCCCTGGGCCAAAGGCAGGCACCAAACCGCTGCGCCACCCAGGGATCCCCACAAAACTTTTTTTTAAAGATTTTATTTATTTATTCATGAGAGACTGGGAGAGGCAGAGACACAGGCAGAGGGAGAAGCAGGCTCCCTGCGGGGAGTCCGCTGTGGGACTTGATCCCAGGACTCCAGGATCACAACCTGAGCCGAAGGCAGACACTCAACCACTGAGCCACCCAGGTGCCCCACAACAAATTGTTTTAAATGTAAAGTAACTTAACACTTGGCACCATCACCTACGTGGGGGAACAAAATACGCCTTCAGTCCTGTTAGCCATGGTATTCCACCTGCTTGAAGGCACCTTATAAATTCCAGTCATGAGCTAAGTTATAAGCAATCCATTATTAAATAATAAAGTTTCAAAGTTTGCTAATAATCTTTCACAAGTAATTCTGAGAAGATTCAAGCTCATTCATTTGCACTTCACTATTCTCTTAATGGGGGAAAGAAATAGACAGTTACAGCTAGATTATCCACTATAAAGGGACTGGCAAGCGGCGCCTGGGTGACTCAGTTGGTTGAGGCTCAGCCTTCTGCTCAAATAGTGATCCTGGGGCCCTGCTCACAGGGAGACTGCTTCTCCCTCTGCCTCTCTCTGTGTCTATCTCGAATAAATACATAAAATCATAAAAAGAAAAAAGGGGGGGTGGGCGGGACTAGCAAACTATGTCCCACAGGCCTAGTCCAGCTCACTGCCTATATGTTTGTTTGTTTTTTTAAATAAAGTCTTACTGGAACCCAGCCACACAGCCACACGCATTCATTTACATACAGCCTGTGGCTGCACACAGCTGATATTTACTATCTGGCCTTTTAGGAAAGAAACTCACCAACCCCTGCTCTAGTGCTTCCCCAACTTCAGCTGTTCCAGAACCACCTGGAACACCCATAAAAATAGTCCCACATCCAGGGCTAGGCTGCATTGCTAACAAGTTCCCAGGAAATGCTGATATTGCCAGTTGAACCACTACTGTAAGGCCAAACTCCCCTGAATATAACTAGGAGAGGGAGGGGCATTTCTCAGATGAAGAAATTAAACCCACATAGATATTAAGTAATGCATGGAGGTCACACAGGTAGGAAGAGATTTCTCTAACTCCAAAACTCATATTCTTTCTGCTACCCAAATGGCTCAATCTCTCAGTGAGCTCACACATGGCTCGAAGGCTCAGCACACTACCATCAATCACAGCCCTCACTTGATTATGAGCTCCATAGCAGGTAGGAGGAGGGAACTTCAAACCACCCAACCTTTCCCACCCTTACCCCCACCCCAGGAAAGACCACATACCAGAGGACCAGGTCCCACACCACATATCCAGCACCTCTGACTAACACTGAAAACTTAACCAACTCAAACTCCTTAGCATAAAAATTAAATTTATTCTGAAGATTCTATTCATCCCAGAATGAAGGAAGACAATTATATCTAAGAGTTTGGGCTAAAGAAAAAAAATAACATAATTACCAACCTCTTCTACTAGTTGATCATCTGGATCATACTCTTTCAGATTAATAACTGCCACAGGCAGATCTAGGGAGGTGACTGCTTCAGCAAGACTTGTTGCAAATCCCTAATAGGAAAAAAAAAAAAATCACATAGTCTTCAATAAGTTAAATTTTTTTTAATTTTTATTTATTTACAATAGTCACAGAGAGACAGAGAGAGAGAGAGAGGCAGAGACACAGGCAGATGGAGAAGCAGGCTCCATGCACCGGGAGCCCGACGTGGGATTCGATCCCGGGTCTCCAGGATCGCGCCCTGGGCCAAAGGCAGGTGCTAAACCGCTGCGTCACCCAGGGATCCCAGTCTTCAATAAGTTAAATAAGCATAATACCGTCTTCATTTATCCCCATTGCCAAAAGAATAAGGCATTTTATCGTGAAAAACTTTTCCTCTGCCATTTATCATCATAAACACAAATACTATAGTCACTTCTTCCATTTTCTCAAGCATCTCTATAGAGATCAATCATTCAGCTGTGGGATGTGGGATACCTGGGTGGCTCAGTGGTTGACCATCTGCCTTTGGCTCAGGTCATGATCCCAGAGTCCTGGGATCAAGTCCCGCATCTGGCTCCCTGAGGGAGCCTGCTTCTCGCTCTGCCTATGTCTCTGCCTCTCTCTGTCTCTCATGAAAAAATAAATAAATAAAATCTTTAAAAGAAATAAAAATTTTTAAATTACCAAAAAAAAATCATTCAACTGCGCAGTTCTCACTGTGTAAGTATATATGCAGATAAATCTAAATTGGTTTTTTCACATTTCAGCTGCTTTGCCCCACTAGAATAAACAATAAGAGGGAAAAAAAAAGAAAAAAGAATAAAAAAAAAAAAGAGGGAAGAGAATATGATATGTGAGAAATCTGACACATTTCTGGAAGATAGAAAGCAAACAAAAGCAGGCTGACAGGGAAGAGAAAGCCCTAGAGGAAAGCCCATATGCGTAATAACACCAGAGGTTCTGGATTCAGAGTCAGTCACTACAGTGAAGCTGGAAGAGAACCCTGGGGCAGAGAAGAACCAATCAGCAGACAATTCGTATATGGGACAAGTGCACAGAAAGCCTAGGCAGCATCTGCCCTTTATCTCCAGATAAAATTCCCACTAGCTCTTCTCCAAACAAAATGAACCAAGTATCTGGAGAAAGCTGAAACTTCTAGCCACATGGTGGCACTCTGGAAAACACCTTTTTATTTTTCACTTAGTAGTCTAACACTTGGCTTCTCACCTCCCAGGACTAGAGCATGTATTAATTTACTGTGTATCATCCATGCCAGTCTCAGTTCTGGGCAATATTACACAACAGTGAACAAGACACCCATAGTCCCTGCCTTCAGGGAGCTTGTGTTCTAATGGAAAGAGACATAACAAACATGGATACGAGAAAACATACAGTTCATCAGATGAGGGCCAATGCTGTGGAAGAAAATAAATCAGGATAAGGGGAAGGAACACAGGATTACAGGTATGGAACAGTTGTTATTTTGCACAGGGAGGGTCAGGACAGGTGCCTAAGATTAAAAAATATATATATATTCAGGGCAGCCCGGGTGGCTCAGCAGTTTAGCGCCGCCTTTGGCCCAGGGCCTGATCCTGGAGATCCAGGATGGAGTCCCACAGTGTGCTCCCTACATGGAGCCTGCTTCTCTCTCTGTCCCTCTCTGTCTCTCTCTCTCTCTCTGTCTCTCTCTCTCTCTCTGTCTCTCATGAACAAATAAATAAAATCTTAAAAAATAATAATAATAAATATTCAGCCTTTGTCCTGAGTTCCTGGCACAGAGCTCCTAAAGCCCTTGTAACTTACTGACTTTGCTATGCTAATGAAATAACTCATGGGGAGGCAGGCCCCAGGTAACTTCAGGATGGGGGCTAGTCACGACAAAATCAACCATGCAATCAGAGGTTTAGAACATTCAGCACCATCACTCCCAGTGAGTTCGATCATCCATGGTCAATGATTTGAAACCATTAAAACCACTCAATGACAGGATTCAAGGAGTTTCTGGGTTGAACACACTGATGTGCTGAGGAGGTATGGGCAGAGAGAAGGCATGGAAGCTCTGAGCCACACTCCTCCCCCAAACCTTGCCCTATGCATGTCTGCCATTTGTCTGTTTACCTGTATTCTTTACAATAAACCAGTAAACACAGTTAGGCAATTTCCTGAGTTCAGTGAATCTGTCTAGGAAATTATCAAACTTAAAGAGAGGACTATGGGATCGAATTTATAGCTGGTCCAGTCACAAGCACAGGTAGCCCTGGGACTGGTGACTGACTGGCAGCTGACTGGCAGCTGAGATGGAAATAGTCTTGCAGTCTAGGCCCTTAGACCTGTGGAGTCTGACAAAAACTCTGAGTAGTCTGTGTCACAACTGGAGAGCCAATGTGGAAAAACAACAAGTATTTGGTGCAAGAGGCCTCAGAGGTAAAGACTTGAGCCAAACCTGAAAGACATGAGAGAGCAAGCCATGAGGTTACCCCAAGCAGACGAACATTTAAGTGAACAGATCCGAAGGAGGGAGCAGGCTTGGCAAGGTTAGTAAGACTAGAGACGTGGGGACAAAGGACAAGAGGTAAAAGAGATAATGGAGAACCAGACATGAGGGACTCCTGGCCACTGCAAGGGCTTTGATATACTCTAAGTGAATGAGGTCACTGCTGGGTGTGAAGCTGAAGGAAATGTGATTTCACTGAAGTTTTCAAAGTCTGAGCTGAGTGGTTGCCGAGCTGAAAGGACACTCAAGCCAGGGGATGGGCTGTGCAGCACTAAATGAGGGGGACCCATAAGCAGAAACGTGACCACAGACAGAGGCAGAGGGGTGCCGTGAGGCAGGGTGCTGAGAAGTGACTGGCATCTGGACTCATTTTGAAAGTAAAACAACAGGGATCCCTGGGTGGCGCAGCGGTTTGGCGCCTGCCTTTGGCCCAGGGCGCGATCCTGGAATCCCAGGATCGAATCCCACGTCGGGCTCCCGGCGCATGGAGCCTGCTTCTCCCTCTGCCTGTGTCTCTGCCTCTCTCTCTCTCTCTCTCTCTCTGTATGACTATCGTAAATAAATAAATAAATAAATAAATAAATAAATAAATAAATAAATAAATAAAATTTAAAAAAGAAAGTAAAACAACAGCATTTACTATAAACTGCATAGGAATAACAGGGAAAAGAGAGAATTCAAAGGGTTTTGGGGGGTTTTTTTGTTTTGTTTTGGTTTGTTTGTTTTTTAGCAGGAAACCAGAATGATGAACTTGCCATTTACTGAAATGGTAAAGATCCTAAATGGAAAAGTTTGTGTAAAAAATTGAGAGTTCAGTTGGAATGTACTAATTTTGGGATGCCTACTAAACATCACATGAAGATCTAAGATAGGCCACTGGATATGAGAGTCTGGAATTGAGGGGAACAGACTAAATTTAAGGGCATCTGGGTGGCTCAGTGGTTGAGCATCTGCCTTTGGCTCAGGGAGTGATCCCAGAGTCACAGGATCAAGTCCCGCATCGGGATCCCTGCATGGAGCCTGCTTCTCCCTCTGCCTGTGTCTCTGTCTCTCTGTCTCTGTCTCTCTCATGAATAAATAATAAAACATTTTTGTAAATAAAAACATAAGTTTAGAGTCCACCACTGAATACAGGCAGATCAAATACAGCCCTCCATTTGTTTCTACAGGATCCCTCCTGGGATCCAGTCATGCCATTTATTTACATGTTATCTGTGATTGTTTCCACACTACGCCACAGACCTGAGTAGCTACAACAAAAGACTGTATGGCTCACAAAAACCACACACCTAAAAACATATAAAATAAAACATCTTGCCCTTTATAGAAGAAGCCGGTCAAATTGTATCTAATGTAAAGCTCTAGATAACAAGATCCCTTCGTACAATGAGTACGGATAAAGACATGATCTCAAAGACTGTGCCCCAGGACACTTCTATCTTAAAGATCAAGAAGATGAGGGGAAATCTGCAAATGACAGTGAGGGAAACTAGCCTTGGCCAAGTAGGAGGATGACCCAGAGAACACTGTCAAGTAAGATGAAGAGTGAGAATTAATTAGCAACATAGAAGTCAATGGGAACATGTTGGGGCATGTGAGCTCCACAAGAGTGGTCCAAGGAAAACAAGAGTAGGGAAATTGTGGAGATGTGGAGATGGTGGCACAGACACCTTCAAAGGGCTTTACTCTAAAAAACAAAAAACTGAAGTGGTAGCTAGAGGAGGGAGGTGGGCCAATAGGTCACATGACATGCCCTGACCCACCATGCACACAGCATCTGGTAAAAACTTAGAGAACACAAACCTGTTCACTCATTAACAGAGAAAATCCACAACAGCTATCCCGTCATTCTGTCGTAAATATTAACAGAAAATCATGGACCACCAAGATGGACGAGAATAAGCAGGAAAGAGAAATAGCAGCATCAGAAAAACTGAGAAAGCAGATAAATCAGGAAGCAGAAAAACGAATTTATTCAGATATTTTTTTAAGTTATTAATAAGGTAAAATTGAAAAAATGGCATTTTTGCAACTAAAAACTTAATAGCTAAAATAAAACATTCAAAAAAAAATGTTTGAAATTGAAATCCCACAAGCCAGAATAAAAAGTTACAAAAAGTAAGACAGAAAATATTAAAGACAAGCCATCCAGGGACACCTGGGTGGCTCAGTGGTTGAGCATCTGCCTTTGACTCAGGTCATGATCCCGGAGTCCTGGGATCGAGTTCTGCATCAGGCTTCCTGCATGGAGCCTACTTGTCCCTCTGCCTATGTCTCTGCCTCTCTTTCTTTCTCTGTCTCTCATGAATAAATAAATAAAATCTTGAAAAAAAAAAAAAAAAAAGACAAGCCATCCAAAAACCCTAACATCCAACTAAGAGTCCCAGAAAGAAAAAAAAAGAGAAAACGGAAGGGAAAAATAGTTGCCCAAGAAACATTAGAAAAAATGCTCACAAATCTTCAAAAGGGCCCAAGTGTCCAGCACAATAGCTAAAAAAAGAACCAATGCAGACACGATCACAAGAAAGTTCTGAACATCAAGGACAAAGAAAGGATTCTAAAAGCTTCAAAAAATAAGCAATAAAAAAATAATCATGTCATATACAAAGGAATGAAGAGACTAGCCATCTAAAGACAATGAAGTGACACCTTCAAAACTGTAAGGAAAAACTAATCTTCCATACCCAAACAAATATGAAACCATTAAATGTGAAAGCAGAATAAAGAAATTCAAATGGCACAACTTTAAGGAGGGGCATCTAACCCATATCAACAAAGAGGTGGCCAACAATAAAGCCACTGAGAGTTAAGGAATGTCTGTGTTAACTAATATAAGCAGTCGATAACTTTTAAACTAGCTTTGATAATCTAGAAACACAAAACACGCACAGGTTAAAAATATAGCCATCAGAAAAACTAAAAATAAAAAATAGTTAAAAAGAGATTCACTAGAGAATACTTTTCATTATGAACCCTCCATATGCCTGGATTTGTTACAATCTGCAGTGTTGACCTGATCTTTCAAAAAAAAATTATAAACACATGAGAGAGGCTATGAATGAGATCTTTTATAATAACATCAAAGGACTTTGTTTTGGCTGCTCTGACGTCATTTTTACATTTCTTCAGTTTCCGGCCTCTGTTGCTTAGGGTTGAACTTAATATTTTGTGACCTTCAACTCAGAACTTATACTGAAGTTCTGAAAAACTAAGAAATATTCTTCTACAAAACATCCACAAGAGGGCAGTCCAACAATCTTTAGTACTACAGAAAAATAGATGTTGATTCGTTTATGTTCGCCTTAGAATCTTTACCTAGAAAGCAATAAATAGCTGTGGTCTTCACAATGAAGAAACCTGCAGCATATACATCTACAGCATCTATCTACTTTAAACAGTATTCAATGTCTATTATTAACACTCTTAACGCTATTAAGTCAGAATACATCGTATTAAGTAGATATGTGAAATTGTGAAAGTCAGGGCCCAGACGGGCCCCTACTGCTAACAGTCCCTTTTCACTACCTCCTACTTCTACACCAACCATCAATAACAAGCTTAGAACTCTCCATTCTCCTGAGGTAGAAGCAAGCTTCAGACAGTGACCATCAGACACCACCAACCAGCTGGAATTGGGCACAAGAGATAAAAATCCACCCACCACCCCAGAAAGGAAAAATGTTATGTTGGAAAAGGGAAAAAAGAAGATTGAAAAAAAAAAAAATTAGAAGACCAATTCCATTTTTAGAAGCAATCTTATATCAGAAAACCCAAGAAAAAGTATCACGTAAAGTTTTTACCTTTGCTGTTCCAGTCTGGGAACCATAGAAAATCTTCACTCCAGATACAAAGACTTCCTTGTTTTGAAGAGAGATACAACCATTTGTCATCAAATCCCCGGTTGCTTTTGGAACAGAATTCTCCTGTGATTTCTTGCCCTTTAAAATAAACAGCTGCACAAAATTCATCGAGTTTGAATCTTTTTCTAACTCCAATAGGGATGAAAACTAGCACAGATACTAACTGATTTTACTATTCTCTTAATCTTTCTGCTGTACTCTGCAAATATTAACCTCTTGGTATAATCAGGTCCTTTAAAGGCTGGATCCACATTTTTTAAGACTGTAAAGATTCCTAAGACAAATCTATACATACATCCACCCATAATGTGCTTTAGTGGAATAACAGTAGGAATTGATTTACTGATCCTTAATTATGGTAAGAAAAGAGAAGACTACTGCCCTTCGAAGACGCTAAACAGATTTTTTTTACAAAAGTCTTAGTTTTCATTACAAAATCTTCCTGTATCTTAAGACTGAGACTCCAAAGCCCAGCAAAGAAAACATAAATAACTTAGTCTATAATAACTGAGAATAAATTGTTTAGGCATTTAAAAAAAAGGTCTGGAAACCAACAAACAAGAGTGACCTTCGTTCCTCTTAGCTCTCCTGAAAATCTTAGAAAATCTGCGCTGTAAATTACAAATCTAATGCCTTAATACTCTCATATAAAAAATAACCACTTACCTGCTTCCTGAGGACAATCTGGAAACAAATCCAAAGGCTAATGCCAAAGGCAAAGCCCAAATATATGTAAAACCTGTTTATCCATAATGATATTACAGGTGAAGAGAAGTCCCATGTATCCAAAAAAGGATCTAAATTTAAAATGACACATACACGTAATTTTATTTAAAGCTACATATACAAAGCTACTCATCCTTATTTTTTAAGAATAAAAAATAAAATAAAACCAACTTTCGTATTGAACTCGGCTAAGAAACCTATAAAAAATCGACTCTAATAAAAATAGTAAACCACTGCATGTAAAGGATAATGATAAAATTAACATAACGATAATGCTAACTCAGAAAAAGACACAAAATTGTTCCTTCATTTGGACAGAGCGTTAGGAAGCAGGAGAACTCGAAACTCTTCGTGTGTAATTGCGAATCGGCTTTGCTTTGTTTTCTGCGGCCCATAAGAAAATGAGGGGTTCTCAACCGACATCACACCTCCTGTCTTGGAGGGACGTTTGAATGCAACCGGTCTCAAATGCTGAACCCGGAGGCCGTTTCAGAAGGGGGGGGGGGGCCTAAATGTACAGGCGGGAAGGACCGAGAGCCCTCAACACACGTGGGCAAGCAGAGTGAGCAGTTTTCTCGTCGTCTCACTCGAGGCCAGAAGCACCGCTCCCTCTGCGCTCAGCCCCAGCCTCACGAGGCAGAGCCCGGCCGCGCTCAGCGGCTCCGGCCCCGGCGGACGAGCGCCGCCACCGCCTCTGAAGGACGGCCCGGGGGCGCGCTCCGCCCCGACAGGCTCCTACACAGACGGCTTCCTCTCCCCTCCCGCCTCACGAGTTCTGCCCGCCGGGGGCCCTTACCCATTCTCTTCAGAGCCCAAGCCCTGCGGCCCGACACACGAGGCCTGCAGACCTGAGAAACCTGGCGGCCGGCGAGGACATCAGGGGACGACTACAGCTACCTCGAAGCACTAGCGTCGCACCCCAAACCCGCCGCGCCGGGGGCCGCCATGCCACTCGCCAGCCCGACGGGATTGGCTCAGAGGGGAAGGGGCGGGCCCCGAGGGAGGGCGGGCCCCGAGGGAAGCCCCGCCCAGAGCTCCGCGCGTTGGAACCGGAGCCCTCCCGGCCCCGCTCGGATTGGCTAAGGGGGGAAGGGGCGGGCCCCGAGGGGAGCCCCGCCCACGGCCGAGGGAAAGCAGCGCGCGGAGCCGGTCCAAACACTCCGGCTTTGGAGCAGAGGGGCGGGGGGCGGGGGGCGGGCCCCTAAGGGAATGAGGCCATGAAAGGGGGGGACACAGGGGGAAAAACCGGGGAAAGGCCGGGCATTGAGAGGGTGCCGTCAACCGAATGCAATGTTTGGTCCCGTTTGGACCTCAGCTGAGACACACTGTAAAAAAGGCATTATTTCGGGAAATTTGGCTATGGCCGGGCTGTTAGAGGGTCTTAAGAATCTCGGTTGATCTTGTTGGGTGCGTCTGTGAGGATACAATGACGTGTTTAAAGCTGGGAGCTTGTCATGTGCTTTGAACTACTCCCGACAAAAAAATAGGACGAGAATGGCAAAATGTTGATAATTGTTGAAGTGGGATGATGGGCTTAAGGGAGTTGTTCATCGTGCTTTTTTCTCGACTTTTTTTATCTTACAACTTTTCCACAATAAAAGGGGAAGGTGGGTGTGGCCCCGAGCTGCGGAACCACGAGCCGCCGACGCGACGCTCCCACCCGGCCGCTGAAACATCAACTTGGCCAGCAGCTCGGGGCTCTTGAGCTCCTGGGCGGAACTACATTACCTCCCGGAAGAGCGCCTCTCCTGTCGGGCGCGGAGCGATGTCGTAAAAGCCACAGTGCGCAGGCGTTGCTGCTCGCTTTTCCTCTGCCGGGTTCGGCCACACCTGACGCCTGCGCAGTAAGTCCGCCGGCTGTGCTGTGGCGGCCGCCGGGGCAGTTGGCGGTCGGGCCGCGCGCCGCCGGGTCGTCACGGGAGGTGCGGGCGGCCCCGAGGCGGGCGGCGCGGGTGTGTGAGCAGCGGCCATGTCCATCTTCACCCCCACCAACCAGATCCGCCTCACCAACGTGGCGGTGGTGCGCATGAAGCGCGCCGGGAAGCGCTTCGAGATCGCCTGCTACAAAAACAAAGTGGTGGGCTGGCGGAGCGGCGTGTGAGTGAGCCTCCCCCTGCGGGCGGGCGGGCGGGCGGGCGGACGGGCGGGGCCCTCGGGCCGCGGGAGGGCCGCCGCGAGCGCCCACTGCCCCCCCGGCGTAGCGCCTCGTCACGGCCCTCCTCCGCTCGGGCGGCGCGGTTTGGGTCGGGCTGTCGCGGCTGGGGACTTAAGAGCTACGGCCCGGGAGCCCCCACCTGGGGGTCTTCTGCCGCAGTAACGTCGAAGGGCCGCGACCGAGTCTTGAGGCGTCCGTGGGTCTCCGCCCGCTGGTCCCGCGTGCTGCCATCTAGGGGTCGGTGGCCCCGGCGGCGGCGCCGCGCCCTCCTCCGCCCCGCACCCCCTGCGGCCCGCCTCCCGCTCCCAGGCGGTTTTCTCCGGAGGAGAGGTGGGGCCGCAGGCGCGCCGCTCAGTTTCCAGGGCTCCCTCTCCCTGGGGGTCAGTTGGGAGCATTTGTTGTTTCTTGCCCTTTATGTTGTTGCCGTCTTGTATCTGTGAATGAATTTCCGAGTTTCTACTGTGTTCACTTCGAATTTTCTCTTCTGTCCTAAGGGAAAAAGACCTTGATGAAGTTCTGCAGACCCACTCAGTGTTCGTAAACGTTTCTAAAGGTCAGGTTGCAAAGAAGGAAGATCTGATCAGTGCCTTTGGAACAGATGACCAGACAGAAATCTGTAAGCAGGTGAGTTCCAGCAGCTACAGCCTAATCAACCCTAATGTTCTTTATAGCAGAACAACTTAGAGGTATGTTAAGCTTTAAAACATTATTTTGGGGGCGGGGGGAGTGAATTATCCTACAATAACTTGACCTAAATATCATCACTTCTTTTTTTTTTTTTCTTTTAAGAGAAAGAGGTGGGGGAGGGGCAAAGGGAGAGGGAAAGAGAAAATCTCAAGCAGGCTCCATGCCCAGCACGGAACCCAACTCGGAACCCAACTGGAGGCTTGATGTCACATGATGGTGACCTGAGCCCCAATCAAAAGTCAGAGGCTTAATGAGCTGAGCCACCCAGGTGCCTCTGTAGCATCACTTTGTTAATTGAAGTATAATTAAATTAGTGATAAGTCCTGTCACCACCTGTCACTGAAGTGTTATTATAGTCTTACTAAATATAGTACATATGCTGTTCTTTTCATCTGTGACTTATTTTATTTTTTTCAAATTTTATAAATTAATTTTTATCGGTGTTCAGTTTGCCACCATACAGAATAACACCCAGTGCTCATCCCGTCAAGTGTACCCCTCAGTGCCCGTCACCCATTCACCCCCACCCCCCGCCCTCCTCCCCCTCCACCACCCCTAGTTCATTTCCCAGAGTTAGAAGTCTTCATGTTCTGTCTCCCTTTCTGATATTTCTCACACATTTCTTCTCCCTTCTCTTATATTCCCTTTCACTATTATTCATATTCCCCAAATGAATGAGAACATACACTGTTTGTCCTTCTCCGGTTACTGTGGCCAAGTTCAAAAAGGGTGTTGCCTGAGTTCTCCTCTGGGATTTTGATGGAATCTTGTCTCACATTTAGATCTTTCATCTATTTTGAGTTTATCTTTGTGTATGGTGCAAGAGAGTGGTCTAGTTTCATTCTTCTGCATGTGGATGTCCAATTTTCCCAGCACCATCTATTGAAGAGACTGTCTTTCTTCCAGTGGATCGTCTTTCCTCCTTTATCGTATATTAGTTGACCATAAAGTTCAGGGTCCACTTCTGGGTTCTCTGTTCTGTTCCATTGATCTATGTGTCTGTTTTTGTGCCAGTACCACACTGTCTTGATGAACACAGCTTTGTAGTACAACCTGAAATCTGGCATTGTGATGCCCCCAGATATGGTTTTCTTTTTTAAAATTCCCCTGGCTGTTTGGGGTCTTTTCTGATTCCACACAAATCTTAAAATAATTTGTTCTAAGTCTCTGAAGAAAGTCCATGGTATTTTGATAGGGATTGCATTATACGTGTAAATTGCCCTGGGTAACATTGACATTTTCACAATATTAATTCTGCCAATCCATGAGCATGGAATATTTTTCCATCTCTTTGTGTCTTCCTCAATTTCTTTCAGAAGGGTTCTATAGTTTTTAGGGTATATTTTGAGAACCATTTGAATGGTAAATGGTTCTCCAACCTTTTATTTTCAGGTTGTAGGTGTCCTTCTGTCTAAAATGAGTCTCTTGTAGACAGCAAATAGATGGGTCCTGCTTTTTTATCCAGTCTGAAACCCTGCGCCTTTTGATGGGGTCATTAAGCCCATTCACGTTCAGAGTTACTATTGACAGATATGAGTTTAGTGTCATCATGATATCTATTTAGTCCTTGTTTTTGTGGATTGTTCCACTGAACTTCTTCTTAAAGGGGAGTTTTAAGAGTCCCCCTTAAAATTTCTTGCAGAGCTGGTTTGGAGGTCACATATTCTTTCAGTTCCTGCCTGTCTTGGAAGCTCTTTATCTCTCCTTCCATTTTGAATGAGAGCCTTGCTGGATAAAGTATTCTTGGTTACATGTTCTTCTCATTTAGGACCCTGAATACATCCTGCCAGCCCTTTCTGGCCTGCCACGTCTCTGTGGAGAGGTCTGCTGTTACCCTAATATTCCTCCCCATGAAAGTCAGGGACTTCTTGTCTCTTGCTGCTTTAAGGATCTTCTCTTTATCTTTGGAATTTGCAAGCTTCACTATTAAATGTCGAGGTGTTGAACGGTTTTTATTGATTTTAGGGGGGGATCTCTCTATTTCCTGGATCTGAATGCCTGTTTCCCTTCCCAGATTGGGAAAGTTTTCAGCTAGGATTTGTTCAAATACATATTCTGGCCCTCTGTCCCTTTCGGCGCCCTCAGGAACCCCAATTAAACGTAGGTTTTTCTTCCTTAGAGTGTCATTTATTTGCCTTAATCTGTCTTCATGGTCCCTTAATTGATTGTCTCTTTTTTCCTCAGTTTCCCTCTTTGCCATTAACTTGTCTTCTATGTCACTCACTCGTTCTTCCACCTCGTTAACCCTCGTCGTTAGGACTTCTAGTTTGGATTGCATCTCATTCAATTGATTTTTAATTTCTGCCTGATTGGATCTAAATTCTGCAGTCATGAAGTCTCGTGAGTCCTTAATGCTTTTTTCTAGAGCCACCAGTAGCTGTAGAATAGTGCTTCTGAATTGGCTTTCTGACATTGAAGTGTAATCCAGATTTTGTAACTCTGTGGGAGAGAGGGCTGTTTCTGATTCTTTCTTTTGAGGTGAGGTTTTCCTTCTAGTCATTTTGCTCAGTGCAGAGTGGCCAGAAACAAGTTGTATTGGAACACGGGGGAGTATCACTGGTCCGTCTAGCTGGTCTTCTGGGGGAGGGGCCTGCTGTGCTGATTTTCAGGTGTTAGCACTTGGGGGAGCTGCTCTGCCCCTGCCTGCTGCCGGGCTCAGCCGGGGTTGTTTACCCCGTGGGGCCCCAGGAGGAACAGCCCCAGTTGCTATGGCAACTCTGGAAGCCTGGATTTAGCCTCCGCAGGAAGGGGCTCGGGGCTCTTGGTTCTCCGTCTGCAGGGCCTGGAGGCTCCGGGGCGGGGCCGCTGATCTGCTCAGCTCCGGGCAGGAGCGTCCTTGCTGTCCTGGGCCCTCCCGGCCTCTGCCTGTCCCAGGGGGAGGCCGGATCCTGGGCTGTGTCCCGGCGCCCTGTGCTCCAGGGCCTGCGCTGTTGGATTCGCGCTCCCGCCCCGCAGCCCCCTCCGCGGAGCCGCTTCCGAGCCCGAGCCCCTCCAAGCTGCTCCGAGCTGCAGCCCTTAGGGAGCTCGGCGCACTCTCCTGCGCTCGCAGGTGTCTGTTAGTGTCCCCGGGAGCCCGAGGGCATCCCCGCTCTCCTGGGTCCTGCTCCAACTCCCTGCGAGCCCCTTTCCGCCCGCCCGGGAAGGTTGGTGCAGCTCCTGCTTCTCCGGGACGGGGCTCTCCTGTCCTGGGGACACTCGCCCCGGCCTCACCCCGGCTCCTCGCGGGGCCCCTCCCCCTCGGAGGCCTTTTGTTTATTTCTTTCTTCCCCGTCTTCCTACCTTGATAGAAGCGCGAACTCTTCTCACTGCAGCATTCCAGCTGTTCTCTCTTTACATCTCAGGCCGAATTCGTAGATTTTCAGGATGGTTTGAAGGTTATCTAGGTAATTTGGTGGGGACAGGCGATTTGGGGACCCTGCTCTTCCGCCATCTTGCCCCTCCCCCTCGTCTGTGACTTATTTTAAAATGAAAAGCTTGAACCTCTTAATCCCCCTTATTTCACCTATTCCCCACCCACCTCCCCTCTAGCAGCAACTAGTTCTCTGTAGTTAAGAGTCTGTCTTTTTGTCTTTTTGTTTGTTCATCTGCTTTGTCTTAAATTCCACATATGTGTGAGATCATGCAGTGCTAGTCTTTCTTTGACTTCTTCCACTTAGCATTATACCCAGTAGGTCCACCCACATCATTGCAAATGGCAAGACTTACTCTTTTTGATGGCTGAGTACTATTCCATTGTGTATACATCCCCTTCATCCTTTCATCTGTCAGTGGACACTTAGGTTGTCCTAAGTCCAATGTCCAATATCATAGCTGTTACCAGTAAGGCTGCAGTAAACATAAAGGTGCATGTATCTTCAAGTCAGTGTTTCTGTTTTGGGGGGGTAAATACCCAGAGATGTGATTACTGGATCATATGGTAGTTCTACTTCTAATTTTTTGAGGAATCTCCACACTTTCCCACAGTGGCTGCACCAATTTGCTTTCCCACCAGCAGTGCATGAGAGTTCCTTTTTCTCTATGTCGTCACCAACACCATTTCTTGTTTTATGTTCATCCTAGCCATTCTGACAGGTGTGAGATGATAACTCATTATGGTTTTCATTTGCATTCCCTTGATGCAAATCATGTGATGTTGAGCATCTTTTCATGTGTCTTTTGGCCTTCTGGATGTCTTCTTAGAGAAAATGTCTGTTGAAGTTCTCTGTTTTAATAAGATTATTTGGCTTCTTTGTTGTGCAGTGCTGTTTTTAATAATTCAGGACATGAACAATTTTGCCAAGTCTAAAAATTAAATCTACTAAGTTGCCTTATTTTGTCCATTTATATATTTGTAGTGGAATATTCCTGAAAATAGAATTTCTTTTCAGGGTTTTCACCGTTTACAACTTTTACGAAATTGCCCTTTTCTCCACCTAAATAAGTTAAGATATTCGAGTACAAGATAAATCTAGTATATCCTTTAGGTGAAGGTCAAATTATTTCTTGTATATCAATAGCTGAGAAGGATGGAATTTAATTTTCTCCCCAAGTTCTTAATTCTTGCGGTTAGTTAACAAGTGATGTGCAATAAAGACATTGCTTATTTAAACCTGTTGGGGTTGGGGATCCCTGGGTGGTGCAGCGGTTTGGCGCCTGCCTTTGGCCCAGGGCGCGATCCTGGGGACCTGGGATCGAATCCCACGTCAGGCTGCCGGTACATGGAGCCTGCTTCTCTCTCTGCCTCTCTCTCTCTCTCTCTCTGTGTGTGACTATCATAAATAAAAAATTAAAAAAAATAAAAAATAAACCTGTTGGGGTTTTTTTTAGATTTTAACTAAAGGAGAGGTTCAAGTATCAGATAAAGAACGGCATACGCAGCTGGAGCAGATGTTCAGGGACATTGCAACTATCGTAGCTGACAAGTGTGTGAACCCTGAAACAAAGAGACCGTATACTGTTATCCTTATTGAGAGAGCCATGAAGGACATCCACTATTCAGTCAAAACCAATAAGAGTACAAAACAGCAGGTGAGTGGCTTTTAATGTCAAAAGGTGTCCACGTGAAAATCAATTTTCTCTGAAGAAAACATTAAGATAGTCGGTCTGTAATAATAAAATACTAGTTGGAAGCACTTGGGTCGGAGATTTGGGGGCAGGAGGAGGAAAAGATGGGGCTCGTAGGGAGGAGCAATGGAATTTTTTTTTTAACAAAGTACAGATGTACTACAACTCTCATCTCCTTTCCAAATCAGACCTTTAGAGATAAAACTTGGAGTTTTAAAGAGTTATTCCAACTCTGTATTTTAGATTTTATTTATTTATATGTAATTCACATGCCACACGAGTCATCTTTATAAAGGGAACAGTTCAGTGGTCTATTCACCAAGTTCCTGCAGTCTGCCCTAGTTTGACAATATTTCCATTGCCACCAAAAGAAATTCTTGTCAACATTAGCAGTCACTCCTTGTTTTCTCCCTCTTACAAGTGTTTGGCAAATTTGTTTTTCTGTTTTCTGTGGACTTTTCTATTCCAGACATTTCATGTAAATGGAATCATACAATATGTGTCCTTTAAAGGTTCCCACCTGTTATTGTACATGTCAGTACTTCATTCGTTCTTAGGACTTGATAATAACTTGTGTGGAAATACCATATTTTGTTCATGAATATTGGAGTTGTCTAATCCACCATTTCTATTACAGCCAAACTAGATGTATCATTCTGGTTTTGATTTGGATTTCCCTGGTAACTATGATTTCAGCATATTTTCATGTCATCTTTGGAAAAATCACTACTTGGACAATTTTTCAATCATTTGTGTTTTCATTATCAAGTTCTAAGGGTTCTGTATATATTCTGGATACTGATACCTCATCAAATGTGTGATTTGCTAGTATTTTCTCCTATTTAATGGGTTGTCTTTTCACTTTGTTGTTAGTTTTTTGAACCACAAAAGTTTGTATTCTTTAAGTGCAATTTATTTTTTCCTACTGATGTTTATGTTGTCTGTGTCCTGTTGAAGAACCGCCACCTAATTCAGCCAGGTGGAAACTGCTTTGTTTTGAATCCCTTAAAAAGCAATGCAGCAGAAGGGGCAAAGAAGCGGCCGTTGTTTTCAATTTTGTCTTGCTAGGCTTTGGAGGTGATAAAGCAGTTAAAGGAGAAAATGCAGATCGAACGTGCTCACATGAGACTCCGGTTCCTTCTCCCAGTGAATGAAGGGAAGAAGCTGAAAGAAAAGCTCAAGCCACTGATCAAGGTCATAGAGAGTGAAGACTACGGTCAGCAGTTAGAAATTGTAAGACAAAACACTCTTACTCTTTTGCTTCCTCGTTACCAAAGTAGTCTGTTCTCTAGTCGTAAATGTGTAATGAATATTTAGAAGGTAAGGACAGTAAGACATTTCCAGAAACCTCTTATTAATTAAGTAATAATTAAATAAAAATGTAAAGGTTTAAGTGAAATTAAGTTGTAGTTAAACACTTTGGATTTTTTTTTAGGTGATTCTGTGCTTATTTTGGATGAGAGTATATGTTTTACAGTGAGTCTCTTATTATGAGGAAATTGGAAATAAGACCAGTTGAACAGCCTCATTTACGACAGAACTTTTTTTTTTTTTTAAGATCCATTTATTTATTTGAGAGAAAGAGAATCTCAAGCCGACTCCCTGTTGAGCTCGGGGCCAGATACAGGGCTCAATCCTACAACCCTGAATTCATGATCTGAGCTGAAACCAAGGGTTAGGTGGTCAACCAACTGAACCACCCAGGTGCCCTATCACAGAACATTTTATAGAAGCAGCCAAAGCATTTTGTCTTAAAACCTCACCCTACAGTGTCAGACACAGTATAGATTACATTGTCTGCAAACTCATCCCTTCGGACTTTGCAGCAGCTTCAGTTCAAATGAGCTCTAGACTGGGATTGTTGAGCATTTCATTCTAAACGTGAAACAACACATCTGACATTCTGAAGTTCTCATATCTTTTCAAAACTTTACACGTGATTTCTAAATGGGCCTTCAAGATTTTCTCCTTCAGATGTCAATAAAAAGAGGTACTTTCCTAGAACTATAAATGTTCATGCTAAATTTTAGTACAAAAAGAACTATACTTTTCTAGTCCCATTCACTTTACAGCCAAGAAATCCAGAGAAGTCCTCAGACAGGGAGGTTGATGCCTGTCACAGGGCCTACATGCATAAAGACAGGGGCTGACTCTGGAAGACAGTATGAAGGTTCCTCAGAAAGTTGAAAATTGAAGTACGCTACAATATAGCAATTGCACTACTAGGCATTTACCCAAAGACACTGATTTGAAGGAGTATGTGCACCCTGGTGTCTATAGCAGTATTATCAACAATAGCCAAACTATAGAAAGAGCCCAAGTGTCCATCATCTGATGAATGGATAAAGTTGTGGTGTGTGTATATATATATACACACACACACACACACACACACACAGTGGAATATTATTCAGATAACAAAAAGAATGAAATCTTAGCATTTGCAATTATGTGGATGGATTAGAGGGTATTATTCTAAATGAAATAAGTCAGAGAAAGACAAATATCATATGATTTCACTCATGGGGAATTTAAGAAACCTAGCAGGTGAAAATAAGAGGGGAAAGACAAAAATAGAGATGCAAGCCATAAGAGACTCTTAATGATAGAGGACAAATTGAGGGTTGATGGAGAGAGGAGGTAGGTGGGGGATGGCCATTAAGGAGGGGACTAGTTATGATGAGCACTGGTTGCTATTACGTAAGCTTGAGTCACTAAATTCTACTCTTGAAACCAAAATTTCATTGTTATCTAACTAGAGTTTAAATAAAAATTGAGGGGGGGAGACGCTGGACTAGAACCCCGTCTGCTCCCCTGTGCATTGTCTTCGCTCTTTCATTGTAGAACTGTAGCAGCAGGGACATCCGGAAAGTGTCATGTGTTTGTCTTAGAGGAGTTAAAGCCGTGTTCATACTGTTGCTTTGCTCATCTTCATGTGGTGAGCAGCTGTGTTCCGTGTTTCAGGTGTGTCTAATTGACCCGGGCTGCTTCAGAGAAATTGATGAGCTAATAAAAAAGGAGACAAAAGGCAAAGGTTCTTTGGAAGTACTCAACTTGAAAGATGTGGAAGAAGGAGATGAGAAATTTGAATAACATCCATCAAGCTCTTCAGCTCTAAAACACTAAAGTATTTTCTTTTCCCACAGTCCTCTTTTCTGTGGTCTGCTAAATACTTGCTCAAACTGTTGGACATTTTCCATCTTTGTGGTAACATATATACAAAAAGACTTTCCTAATGAGTATTACACTGTGGGATTCATTTAGTTTTAATGATAAAGTGGGGTTTTAGGCAAAAACGAAAAATCCAAGCTGCAGAGGGCAGAGTAACATGTTGCTACTGTCTCGTGCCTTGTACTTTCCAATGTGCAAGTTATCTGAGGCAACTCTTGTGGGTAAAAAGTTAAACTTTGCGCATTATATGTGATAAGATAAATGCGGGAGGGTATGACAATATGACAAAAAGGGAGTGTTTGCTTAAGAAAACATAATGTCTTATATGTACTTAATGAAACGTGGCCTAATACAAAGTTTGGATGATGACTTCCTGATTATCTGAAAAATAGTTCTGTGATGACTGCAGGACTGAAGGAATATTCGTTAAATGTGCTGCCATAAACTAGATAATTCTCGGTAAAGAATAAAGTCATTTGTTTCTAATCCTTAAAGTTTATAATATATATTAATATAGCTGAATTATATGTAACCAATAAAACCACTCTTTATTTTTATTAAACTGTGTCTTGTGTTTCTAGACAGCTTCTAAGCTCCCTTTTCTCTGCCTTCTGTCTGGTAGGGTTGGAGAGTTCTCAGCAGGATGAAATAAGTCCTTTGAGGAATGGGGAGTGGTTAGAACAGGGCCTGTTCTGATGGACACCTGATAAATCTTAATCGTTTAGGAAGTAATTGAATATAAGTATTTTAGTACTTAAACACTTAAATGGACCACGTGCAAGTTTTTAAAAATCTTATCTTCAAAGGAGATACTCTATAGTGTTTTACTCAAAATTAACATGTGGTTGTGTTTCGTGGACAGAACTTTTTAACTGAGAGTTTTTTAATTGAACAGGTCCAGATGGGTTTTATAAGCACATAGAATTCACTGCTGATACAAGCACTCAGAAATGGCCCATTTGAAATTAGGAAGTTAAAGTTGCTTCTCATAGTGTTAGAAGAAATACTCCTGCTTGATAAGTTGAGAACACTATATGTAATGTTGAATCACTGTTTTGATACCAGTCCTTAAGATGGCCCTCTGACTGATTCCATTTTACTGGTACAGATTATTGTTTCATAAAGATGATCTAAACTCAAAGGCCCAGAAAATAATTTTAGCCAGTGAAGCTTATCTCCAGCTTAGATAATCAGTGTTTCAGGTTGGAAGTCCTCAAGATTGGAAATGTTCAGTAGCTGCATCTTGAGTAGGAAAGTTCACCAGTTAGAACATCTCCTTTAGTTTTCCTCATCCTCATTATTCATCTCCTAAAAAGCCAGACCTTTAAGAAATGTCAAATGTAGATCACCTGTGAGTCACACATTAAGCATTAAAAACTGTTTGCCTTATATAAATCTCATTACTCAAAAGTAGGTAAAAATTTTGGTTCTCAATCATGCTCCCAGGACCGGTGCTATAATGGGTTGTTTTAAAGTTCTAAGGATTGAGCTGTTTCTTTTGCTTCCTCAATACAAGCTGTATTGTGTATGTTTGGTCAAAATGATATTTTAGAATGAGTCCTTTCCTGTTGGCATAGCTTCTTTCTGCGAAGCGTTGCTTATACCCATTCACAATTGCTCCAGCCCATGGACCTCACACCACTTTGAAACCCCTCCTAGGCCTGGATTTCACCCTATGTTGCGTTCTGGAGAGCGGCTTACAAAATTCCCACCTGGCATGCTAGATGGTGAGCTCCTCAAGGGCAGGAGATGAGCCATTGTGCCTTTGGACCCAATAGACGTGGGATAAATGTCTGTGGAGTGATACGTGCTCTCTCAGTGAGGGCTGGCAGAGATGAGGATGGGAGATGACAAATTTGTCCAGTGAATGACTTGGTCAAATCCCTCTTTAAAGCTAGAACGGGTGTCAAGCTTTGAGCTAAAGCTTCCCACCCTTCATACTGATGCATGCTAATATGCCACTTGGTTTCTGGTCTGCACAGATGCACAGATTTCCCCCACCCCCACCACCCCCAGCCCTCAGAGTCTCTGCCTGCAACCAGTCTCTCTTACATTTATTTGCCCCAGGCTGTCATAAACACCTATACTCTGGACTGTGATGGGAAATGGGGTAGAATTCCCTGGGCGGCTCAGCGGTTTAGTGCCCGCCTTTGGCCCAGGGTGTGATCCTGGAGTCCTGGGATCGAGTCCCACATCAGGCTTCCTGCATGGAGCCCGCTTCTCCCTCTGCCTGTGTCTCTGCCTCTTGCTCTCTCTGTGTCTCTCATGAATGAATAAATATAATCTTAAAAAAAATAAAAACTCATAAGCAGTAGCTAACACCATTGATTTTTTTTTCCTGCATGCTACCCTCAAGCCCACATCATGAGGTTCTCTACAACTTTGGTAGTAATGAGTCTCGTTATCTTTGTAAGTTTTTTGCCAGCCTGCTCTCACATTACTGAAATTCAAAGTATTGGTTATTGGAAAACATTTTTCTGCTGCTGTACAATGGTGGATGGTTGCACATATTTTGCCATTAACAGTAATAGCTGAGGGGACAATGGCCATTGATTTTTCATCTCCATGTGTATATACCTATCATGGTACTTGGAAAGTTAATGAGTATAAGTGGAATTTTATGGCAACAATTCTGAGCTAAAAGTATAATCTTGACCTAAATATCATTTGGCTATTGCAGCTCCTACAGAGGAATGATTTCAGAATATACCTAGTTGAGTTGCTGGGGGCCCTTTCCAAATACCCTGAAAGAGTCTTCGGTTTCACCAAATTCCTAGTTGGATAAGATTTCTGGTTAACAGAGAGTGGAGGTAAATGAGTTGTGGAGTTAAGGCAGAGTCATTTTTACTGCAGAGGAAAGTAGACCTGTTTCCTACACTCACATCATATCTCAGGATGTTTTTCCACCTGTTGAGCCACTTGAATGCCCAAAAAATTCATGGTAGAACTCTTCTTGTGGTCACCAAGGATAGTTAACATACTTTTCAAGTGATGAGGTCCACAGGCTTATTTCTTACTGTCACATGGAGAGAAAGAATGAATCAAGACTAGAAATCTTGCATGTAATCAAGGTAAAATAGTTTATGGATTTACAAATAAAACTTTGCAGATTATATGGATACAAGAGTGGTTCAATATTCAATTTCACAACATCAAAAAAGGATAAAAACTATATGATCATTTCAATAGATGTAGAAAAACCATGTGACAACATATAACATCCATTCATGATAAAAACTCAACAAAGTAGGTTTAGAGGGAACACATCTCAATATAATAAAGGCCTTATATGAAGAACCCACCACTATCCTCTTAACTCGATGGCAAGAAAGAGCTTTTTCTGTAAGTTAAGGAACAAGACAGGATGTCCACTCTCACTTTTGTTCAACTTAGTACTGGAAATCCTAGCCACAGCAATCAGACAAGAAAAAGGAATAAAAGGCATCCAGATTTCTTTTTCTTTTTTTTTTTTTTTTTTTTTTTTTTTTTTTTTTTTTTTTTTTTTTTTTTTTGCATCCAGATTTCTAAGGAAGAAATAAAACTCACTATTTGCAGGCGCCTGAGTGGCTCAGTTGATTAAGCATCTGCCTTTAGCTTGGGCTGTGATCTCAGGGTCTGGGATCGAGTCCCTCATCCACCTCCCTGCTCAGTAGGGAGCCTGCTTCTCCCTCTGCCTCTCTCCCCCTTCTTGTGCTCTCTCTCTCTCTCACTCACACTGTCTCTCAAATGAATAATTTTTTTTAAAAAATTCAATATTTGCAAATGACATGATACTAAGGAAACCCCAAATAACCCACCAAAAAACTACTAGAACTGATAAATGAATTTGATAAGATGCAGGATTCAAAATAAGTGTACAGAAATCCATTGCATTTCTATACACTAATAATGAAGCAGCAGGACACCTGGGTGGCTCAGTTAAGCGACCAACTCTTGATTTTGGATCAGGTCGTGATCTCAGAGTCATGAGATTGAGCCCTGTGTCAGGCTCCTTGCTCATCGGGAGTCTGCTTAAGACTCTTTCCTTCTGCTTCTCTCCCTGCCCCCTCCTCTCCGCCACTCAAATCTCTTTCTCTCAAACAAATCTTAGAGAAAAAAAAAAAAGGCAGCAAAAAGAAACTAAGAAAACAATCCCATTTACAATTGCATAAAAAATAATAAAAATACCCGGAATAAACTTAACCAAGGAGGTGAAAGACGCTGTACTCAAACCTATAAAGCACCAATGAAAGAAATTGAAGACGACACAAACAAATGGAAAGACATCCCATGCTCGTGGACTGGAAGAACAAATACTGTTAAGAAGTCCATACTACCCAGAGCAATCTAGAGATTTAATGCAATCTCTACCACAACACTAACAACATTTTTCACAGAACAAGAACAAATAATCTTAAATTTTATATGGAACTACAAAAGACAAAGAATAGCCAAAGCAATCTCAAAAAAAGAAAACTAAAGCTGAAAATATCACAATTTCAGATTTCAAGATGCAATACATCAAAACAGTATGGTACTAGCACAGAAGTAAACACATAGATCAATGGAACAGAACAGAAAGCTCAGAAACTCACAATCATGTAGTCAATTAATCTTCAACGAAGGAGACATGAATAAGCAATAGGAAAAAGTCTAACAAATCGTGTTGGGAAAACTGGACCACTTTCTCATACCATGCACAAAAATAACTCAAAATGGATTAAAAGACCTAGATGTGAGCTGTGAAACCATAAAAATCCTAGAAGAGAATACAAGCAGTAATTTCTTTGACATCAGCGGTAGCAACATCTTTCTAGATATGTCTCCTGATAAAAAGGAAACAAAAGAAAAATAAACTGTTAGGACTTCTGCACACCAAAGGAAACAACAAAGCTAAAAGACAACCTACTGAATGAGAGAGGATATTTGCAAATGACAGATCTGATAAAGGGTTAGTATGCAACATACATAAAGGGCTTACACATGCAATTCAACACCAACCCCCTCCCCAATAATCCAGTTAAAAGGCAGAAGACATGAACAGACATTTCTCCAAGGAAGACATACAGAAGGCCAAAGACACATAAAAAGATGCTCAACATCATTCATTATCAGGGGAATACACTCCTGAATACAAAGAGATATTACCTCACACCTGTCAGAATGGCTAAAATGAACAACATAAGAAAAAACAAATGTTGGGGAGGATGTGGAGAAAAACCCTCATGCACTTTCAATGGGAATGCAGACTGGTGCAGCCACTGTGGAAGACAGTATGGAAGGTCCTCAAAAAATTAAGAATAGAATTATCATATGATCCAGTAATGACACTACTAGGTATTTACCCAAAGGATACAAAAACATTCATTTGAAAGGATATATGCACCCCTTTGTTTATAGCAGCATTACTTCCAATAGCCAAATTATGGAAGCAAGTGTCCATCAACTGATGAGGGATAAAGAATATATTTTATACATACACACACACACACACACACACGAGAGAGAGAGAGAGAGAGAAAATGGAATATTATTCAGCCACAAAAAGAATGAAATCTTGCCATATGCAACATGAATAGGTCT